AACTTACGATTTCCTGGTAGCGCATTCACGAGCTAAGTTTACGACCAAATCATTAATGGTTTGCTTTCCGAATTTCCCACTATTTTTATTCCATATTGCTAGAATTAAAAAGTTGAAGTTTATGACATTTGTTTTTCTTTTAATCTAATACATTCCTGGGACTTTTAGTAAATGTGTTTATGTTTTTGATTTTCTCGATCTTAAAATTCTTGCAAAATTTTTTATTTCTGTTTCATCTCGTCATCCTTCTCTCTCTCAATGTGACATCATCCACAACCGTCCTTTATCTTTTGAAAGTTTGAAAAAAAAAAAAAACTCTGTAAGCAAACTCGACAGTTTCTGAAAGTTCTCTACGTATTCACGTTTTAGCACTTCAAATATGTATAACTTTGAACAAAATGATTTCCCAGTTAGCTGAAGGCTTGTACAAGTCCTTAAATTTTTGCATTCAATGTGCTTATTTTGAAAGCTGTGCTGTTCAATTCTTCAGACAGAGAGAGAGAGAGAGAGAGAGAGATTTTCGAAGAATTCAAGCAAAGCTCTAAAAAGGTTTAATTCAAACCAGATGTTTATTGCTTTCATGACTAGCTATTGTTTTATTCCATATCATTTATCACAGCACTACATTACCAATCCACACTCGATGAAGATGATGTCCTTGTACCTTCTGAATTAGTTTAGTATTGACATGAAACATAAGGAGAAGATAAAGTTATTCAGAAAATGAAATTTTTAATGAAATATTTTGAAACAAAAAGAAAAAGCATCAAACAAAATGCAACATGGTACGATGAATATTTCAGTTTAGAAATTTTTTTTTACAATTTTAAGCTTTAAAAATAACTCATGAAGCGTTTATTATCAATTCAAATTTTCTAAAATAAAGATTAGTTGGAAAAATAAAAAGCATTCGTGATTTTTGTAACACTGCATATCAAATAATATAATTCTTTAAAAATTCAAATATTCCATTCATCTTTCTCGATACAAAGTAAGCAGTGCTATCATTTAATAAAAGTTAAGCTTATCCAACATTTTGCTGACAGTATGATAATAAGAAATTTATAAAACGAATCAAATTTTGAAGTCGAAAAAAAAAAAAAAAAAAAAGGTTTTCCCGACAGAATATCTTGACATCTTCGCGTTTGTGCGTTTGAAGTAAGTACACATATAAAATGATGATATTTCTTGCAACTTTTGAGAAATTTCTGTAAGGTCGAGTTATATGATAAAGAGCACACACGCATAGACACACACACACACACACACATATATATATATATACACACGCACACAAACACAGACACACACAGAGAGAGCAACTGACTCCTCATCCATCGCATTTTAAAACGAACATTTAATTGAGTAAAAGCTAAGCTTATTTAACGTTTTCCTTACAATTTCTGGTTGAAATTTAAAAAATGAGGAACCAAGCGAACATATAATGAATTAACACTCTGTCATTTTTTCTTTTTTTTTTTTTTCAAATAAAAAACTAATTTCACTAAAGCGTAAAGCCTTAACGAATAAATTACCACTGGATGAAATCAATTATTGCATGCAATTTGTTTCAGCTTTTTGGCTTGAGCAAATGTAATTTACTGATCTTATAGCATTTGAATAAGCCCACCTATGTTCTGTAGGCTAAATGTGAATTCCGCAAACAATTTCTTCCTTATCCATTATGCATGGAATTTTATTCAATGAGATTTCTACTTCCTGGCCCCTTTTTTTGTTTTTTTTTTTAAATCCAGAAAGTTGAAGCATGTAATTATGATATTAAGAATACTCATCATGCATATGAAGAGTTTACAGCGAATTTTTATTTCTACCAAAAAAAGGAATAATTGGTTATAAAAAGAAAAAAAAAATAAGTCTTAAAAAGATGCAAAAATGGGCTTTTTTCTTTTCTTGCTAAAATTTTGCTTTTTCAATAGAAAGCATTGTATAGTGGGCACTTCTTTGGTATCTTTCAGTGATTTGTGCTTTATTCACTGAAAAAAAAAAAAATTGAATGGTCGAAAAAGGAAGCAATTTCTCACTTATCAGTTCCATTTTGATATATCATAATTCATTTTCCTTTTTTTTTTCCGGAAAGAAAAACATTGCTCAATCAGAGATGTTATTGTATTCTAGAAGTTGATCTTTTCTTTTTTGAGCATTTTTAGAAGCACTGATTTACATTGAAGGAATGTAATCGTACTGTAGTTGCATATTTTCATGATCACATTGAACGGTAATTTGTTTATACTAATAAATTCAAAGTTTAATTGTTATATACCTAGGATGAAAGTTAACTTTTCATGAAATGGAATATTCCCATGCAAAATGGTAGCATTAAAATGAAAACATAAAATATTTTTTAATGGAAATCCGATCAAAACGATTGAAATCCACACACTTTTTTTTTTTTTTTTGAAACAAATATCTATCAATAAAACACGTTGCATAACATTAAAAAAAAAAAAAAATAGTAGTAAGTGATATCACCAATGCAACATCTTTAACAAGGAAATTCATTTAAAATGGTTGACATTACAAGGGCGACACAAGAAAATCTTTGTTGGAAAATAAATTAAAAAGTCAAAGTTTGTTCGAATATTAAATTAGATGTTGGCCAAAATCTTATATAATTTGAAATCAGATTTTTATTTCTTATTTTTATGTTTTTTTTTTTTTTTTAAAGAAAAAGCAAAAAAGGAGAAATAATGACAAAAATATGATTGTTATAAGTTTGTAATGGACTGGGTCCCAAGCCTCTTGTGATAAGTTGATGTTAACTTAGGTTTAATGTCTTATGTGCAATTAAGTCTGGTATAGAACACAGATTTTGTCACATATCTGACAATTATGATATTACTGGAATTAAATAATTCATCTCAGCAGGTATGTTGAAGCTTAATCCATTATGTCTTCGTTAAAATACATTGTATAAGACGAAAGTAATAATTTCGTCGGTAGAATTTTCTTTTTTTTTTTTGCTTTGATCTTCGAATACGTAATAGAAATTTGCTTCCTCTATAGTACGATTGCGTAAGATAGTTGTAAAATATTGGAAGTCTGTAATGAAATCAATAAGATTACGATGTAGTGTTAACTTATTTGCTATGTTATTAATGAAAATAATGATAAGAGATGGAAAGTTAAGGTAAAAGAAATTAGAAAAAATATTATATTACAGAAAAACTTTGTCAATTTAATAACTCGACTATCAGAAAAATATTAAAATATTGAGGCTTTATTGCTAATTAGTAGCAATCTCGAGATAGGTGATTAAGGTCAAAAATCAGAACGAAATTAGCTTACTACTACGTTTTATTTTAAATTATCTGGAGGAAAACATTGTCATGCAACTAATGTAAGCATCACATTATCAATTAAAGGTTTGGATAGGTAGCGAAGAACAGAGAGAGACAGAGATTATCTTTATCAATTATCCATATCATTTTACTACATTACTAGTAGTGGGTAGATGAAAAAACGGAATAAAATAAAGTAGTAAAATAGTTGAATATTATAGACGATTATTATTGAAAAAAAATAACAAATATTATTATTGAGAATACTATTTAAAGTTGGTAACCTTGGAATGAAATATGACGATGAAATTGTTCTTGCGAATGAACACAGAGACGAAACATTTGTAAATAGCCGTTAGTAATCCTCCAATACTTTTTCAAAATCTAATGAATAATTTGAAGATTCATTATCACAAGAAAAAAAAAAAGCTCTAATTAATCAAATTTTTGATTAGACTTTTTGAGTTCGAAAAAAAAGTAAAAACAAATATTAAAATGTACGAGTAAATTCAATAATTTGACAATTCAATAATCATTTCTATAATCGGAGATTTTATACAATTGGTTATTGTAAGAAATTGCAAACATCTGAACTTTGAAAAAAAAATAGAATGAGAATGAAAACGAAATTTAAGTTTTCAAATATATAAATAATGCTAGAACAAAAGTATTTTTTAAAATTTCATTTTAGCTATTTATCGACCAAATTCCTAGCAATAACTAGATTGACAATGAATAAAAAAAAGAAGAAATCCGTTGGAAAGTCACAAAATCCGCTTTCACTTATTTACACATTGTTATTATTCATATTTGAATTTATGTATAGTCTGTTTTACATAGTACTTGTTGCTAACTCATTAAGCATATAAGCTCCACAATGTTTTATTTAGTTCCTTTATCATCACTAATTTATTTATTTGTTATACTTATTTGTCACCCAAAAAAATTTATTCAACATTCTTGCGACACATTCCCTATTGTGATATAATTGTGATATTGTAATATAAATTATAATTTATATAGTGACATCATATTAAGCTTACAACTTGCAATGTCACAATTTTTCTCTCCAAATTATTACCTCTCAAGAACATATTGCGTTTTAAGAGAGATTATAAATTAGGGAAATGTCGCCTCAAATTATTTTTTGATAATTACCAAAGAAAATGGTAATTTGCTGCTAACAATGCCTTAATAATATCTCATTTATTTCATTGAAATCATCAGATAATAAAACAAATGAGATATTTTCATGGTATAATTTCACAAATATTCGCACAAATCTTGTATCTTTTACATCCAGAATTCTTGTTGAGCTTAAATATTGCTGCTTTAAACTACTTTTTTTTGAAAGCAGTCATAAAATTTGAAAAAAGCGTTTAGTTTATTTCACTACCTTAATTTGGCAGATTTTAAATCAGGGCAAATGTGTGAGCACAAACTTAACCAAGCAATATTATATCTAATGTTTTTGATAAGTACTTTAAGGTTTGAGGATTTATAATTTAAGATTTCTAGCTTTGAAATTTCAGCAAGCTTTTTATCTGCTGAACTGAAACTAAATTAGGTCAACCTGAGTACCTATCACGAATATACTTATATAAATATATATATGGTTTGCATTATTTGACAACAACAACGAAAAAGCAACAGTTGTATCAATGTTAGATCACTTAATCAATAATTTCTTAAGTACATCTTTTAATGAGAATTGTGAGGTCTTTTCGAGCCATCTGTATAATTCAGCTCACCCATGGGCATACCCAGTTTACTGTCCAGTTCATTTATCTCATCGGGAATATAACTTCGTTCTATTTCAAAACGCGGTTGTTCACTGGAAATAGATGGTTTGTCACATAAGAATTATAATTAATTGGTTGGCCATAAAAAGTATAAAATTATTAATTGCTTAAATCATACGGTTTATAAACCATATCGCGCTGGAAATTATTGACCTGTTTCTGGTTGAATACCTTAAGATATGCATTTTTAGCCTTAATAATTGTCGCTTCATCGCATTTTGTACTTCACCATTCAAAAAGCAGTATAATACAGCAATAAATATGCCCTTTAAAACGCAACTTTTTGTTAATTAAAAAATGTGGATTATTTGCAAACCTAAAATAAGCAGAAATATCTATAAGTAGAATTTGGCCGAATTGGTTTTTAGTCCTAGTATGATTCTAATATGAATTTTCAGTGAATATGACCATTTTCGATCATATCATTAATTTAGCAAACTAGTTGAAAACAACCTGAGAATGCTGCAAAATAGCAGAGCCAAGCATGTAGACACTGCTGGGCTGTGATGGCTCGTAGAATAAAGGTATATTGGAAACACCTAGAAGTGGCACTAGTAGAAGTGTCGACTTCACCGTCCTCCTTAAATAGTATTAAATCGGTATCAATGGCAAGATGCATAATTTATTACTTTGAGATTGATTCTCGGTTAAATAGTTCAGTAAAATAAAGTGGTTTTAGAAAAGTGGCGGTAAGTACAGATGGTAATTAGAAAGTACAGAGGTACAAAATAAAAAAAAGATAGAAGTGTAGGAACTCTGAAATTCGAAAGTTGATGCAAATGGATAGCTCATTCTAACACGAAATAGTATTAAATATTTCAGTATAATTCATGAAATCTCTAATAAAATTCTCATCAAAGTTCACAAGATAGCAAAATATTGGTTATGAAACGAATAACCATATTTTCTTCGATTCAGCAGTATTTTCAGCGCGCAATTTCTGCACCAATATGAGAACAATACCCAACAGAAACAATAAATTCAACTGGAAAGAAATGAATAAAGGCAAAATGGACTATTCAATTAATTTGCTTAATTTCCCGATTTCTTTTTTTGAATTATATTTTCTTGATCGGCAAAGCTCTACTCTAATGAGTTTTGCGGACCAAGAAAGTATAAGTTTTCTGGTAAAATGAGATGCTTCTTGTAATAAAAAATGAAATTTCAGTTAGTAATGGAAACTAAAACAAATTTTTAATTTTACTTTATTTAACTCTCATCTAGTTCAACTGCTGATAAAAAAGAAGAAGTAACTGAGAATGATGAACAATTTGTGGCAAATGCAAGAATGTTTCAGCATAATTCATAAATCCTTCTCAATCAAATCTTTGTGTTGTTATTAGTCTTAGCTCTTTAAATTGTTATATGCTTTAAAAGATTTTTTTGGTACAATTTCTTACTATTTAAGATTTCGAAATTCTTTTTAACTTCTTTTTGATGACATCTAAAAGGAGATAAATACAAAAATGAAGCAGTGTTTTGGATATGAAATATTTAAATGATAATTTTCACAAATATAGCTTAAAAGTATGTTAGCATAAACACTGAAAATAATTCATTTGTAAATAATGAAATGAGGACGAACAATTAGCGCTAAGCCCATCGTTGCGGATAATATCCATAGATGAGCACCTTGTGCATATGGCAACCAACAAAATGAATTTTGATTTTGACTCGATCGTCTTTGATGGATAATGGTCCAACTGACAACAACAACAAACGGTACACCTATAACTTTTATCTTATCGCTTTATTTTTGCTCACTTCATCAATCTTATTCGCTTGAACTATGTAAATGTTATATCACGAAAGCGACTAATTTCATTTATTTTCATAACAGTAATAGTGATAGAAAAGGACGAAAACACTGAGAGGGAACATTAGTGATATTGGATCAATGTTGATTGCTATCAGTATTGATATCCATTGTTATTATCATCAAGAATTAATAATTTAGTGGATTTCTTTTTCAAACATGCAATGTAAGTGCATGCTTAACATGGACTTTACTATTCAAATTTCTGATGCTAACTGTCAATTTTCAACCGCAGACAATCACTGACTTACCCCAACCACAAAAGAGGAAAGCATAATTGGGACAATCAATACTTCTCATTCCAAACACGGTGAATCGACTATACAAATAACCACCCTCAATAAGCATCCACATAACCGATGCAACCTGTAAATTCTTTTTTTATTCAAAAATGAAACTGAAATGAAATTAATCACTATAGTGCATATTTTAAAAACATTTAAAATTCAGCGACAGGAGAACTTAAATTGAAAAATTGGTAAATAAAAGTACATCAAACAAGATGACTAGTTTTGTTTCTCTTTCTTCTGTCTTTATCTACTTTTTATATTTCTGAAACGAGAAATAACACCTAAATATGCTATTTCTCGTTTTAGAAATAATAACATGCTTCTGCACTCCTCTCTAGCTTTTTTTGGAAATGAAAAGAACAGATATCGTTGACTACACTTATCCATGAACTTATTTCATTTATGTCATTTAATGTAAATACAGACCTGAAAGTAAATGACCAACCAAAGCAGAAGCTTACAAATCCATTCCTGAAAATCGATTATTTTAATAAAAGCAACAAAATTATATCTTATTATTTAAAAGCTATTAGTTTAGAATCGATCGATATATCTAAGTACTAGCAAAAAAATTCTTTGTTAAAATTGTTTATTCTTTTTTTGTGAAAAGTCATTATTTCAGCATGAAAATATTTCTGAGGCACTTTGTAATGTTTTTAAAAGTATTCTTTGCTAAGATTATGAATAAATAAAAAAAGAAAAAAAAAAAAAAGGAGAGTGAAATATAAGAACACAGCTAACGTATTCATATAGAGGCATTGAGTTGTAATAAGAGCAATCCTGAAAAAAATTCGTCGTCTGCGCAACTGTCCATAAAGCCAGGACAGTAAAACGAAATACAAAAGAGCTGGCAAGGTTTTTATGAATTGAAAGACGACGACATTGGATGGAGTCTAATATACTAAATAAAATTAGGGCAGTTACCAGCAATGCCACCGAAACAATACTTAATGTTAACGATACATTGATAACCATTTCACGGAGTAAATCTGGACACTGAAAATATTAGAAGAAACTTAGAATAAAATTGCATTTAGAAAAATAGAACTTTGGTAATTAGAAATAACTTTCTAATCTCTAATGAATATTTCAAAATTTTTTTAATAGAATTTTTAGAATTTTGAACGATTTAAAATTGCTTTCTATAAAAGCCATTTATAATTTATATGGAACTAATAGTTGAATACCATCCGCATTCTTTTGTACACTAAACAATTTTCAAATATAATTTACCGTTCTACAGAATCCAACGATGCAGTGAGGATGATACTTTAGAACATCAATACATTGTGCATACATCGGTTCTGCCCAACTACCATTCTCGTTGCAGATACGTTGCACAGTATAGTTATCTTCAACGACTTTACTTTAGACTTGTAAAACTACGAAAACATTTATTCAAGTATTTGCAGTAAAGTGTCTGAATGCATTTGCGAGAAAATAAAAGTAAAGAATTTTTAGAATTTTGAAAAAAAAAGCTTCCTGTTCAATTTAAAGATTTCGAAAACACATCAGGTTTTCATAAATTTCAAATCTCGGCATTTGCCATAGAATAAATATTATAAACTATACAATATAATCGCGGCTATCACAAATATTAGTGGTATCTTCTATAACTTTCAAGTGCAATGGATTTGATATTCTTTTAAATCTTCAAAAGTAAGTAAATGATTGATTATTATCGTTCAATCAACTTACTTTCAATTTCTTCACAACCCTCAACATTTTGACAGTACGAAAATGGACATTTCCTTTGGGCAACTTCACCCGATGCTGTTTTTTGCCAGCATAATGATCGATCAAAATTTGCCATGCAGTACCTAAAATTTAATTGGTTAGAGAAATTATTCATAAAATGCCGAATATACACTTTTATTTTCTGCTTTCATTTTTTTTTTTTGAAATGGTGAAGTCTAGTAAAACTTTAGGAATCCAATCCAAAATTCAGCATCAGCTCTATGTGCTGTTGCTAGCACAATTTTCGATAATGACAAGAGCTTCCAGTAAGTAATTTGTGAAGTGAAATGTCTGTATGTCCAAAAATTTCATGAAGTTAATGTTCTATCAGCCATCAATTAGCAAGTTATAAAGTTTTATATCCAATAAATTTTAATGCATGAATGAAAGATCAATCAGATTTCAGATCAATCATGATATAGGATATATTAACAGTTAACAGACAATAATTTACGTCGAATTTGTTTGGACGTACTGATTGACCAATTCCAAACAGATGTTTCGCTCCCTGCCTATAACGCTTCCACTCATACGTCGACTTTCAGTTCCTTAATTTAATTTTCTTTAATTATATTATAATTGATCATAGTAGAATTAAATGATTTAATTAGAAATGTTCAAATGATGTTTCGTCTTTGCCAAGAGTACTTGCTGACATAATCTACCTTTGTAAGGCTTTGATTTATTCTCTAAATTTAGCTTTAGTTCAATTCACTTCGCTGAACATAATGCTGCATCAAGTACTAGGAAATACGTTTACATTTGATATATAGGTTTTTATTATTATTATTTTTTTTTTTTAAATATATAAAATTAGATAAAGATGCAAACAGTGAATTTGAAGGAAATTTAATTGTATCGAAACGAAAAACTTTTTGAAAATACACCACAAATATATTGTATGGTATTTGTATACAATAAGTTACTTTAAATTCCAGAAGTTGTAAGAATAACATAATACAATAATGAAAAGTAGTGTAAGTGGTGGTAATCTTGAAAATGGAATTGTTCTTCGCAAAAATTATTTCCTCTTCAAGCTATGAACTGAGAAATTCTCTGAATGTCCATCTCCTTTTTTTTTTTTTTTATCAAAACTTATTCATTCCATTTAAAACAACTAATGAGTGGAAAGTGTAATCAAGAATAGGTGTTTAATTAGAAGTGGAATGTAATAAAGCATCCATGTGTGTAACATTTAGCATATAATAACAAGAAATGAGAAAGAACTGTTGACAGGAAGTGTAGTCATGATATAATGGGAAAATGCTTAAGCGTAAATAGATAAACTAAGAGTTAAATTTTTAATTGGTAAAACTACTGCTAATGTTTATGACATCATTCATGCTTTTTCACTCATCATTTTTGAGTATATTTAGAAGAGCTATAGAATAAAATATCTTTTCTTGACTTATACTAAGTTTCACTTCTTTGACTATGAAAGCAGCTGAAATAGTTCTACTAGGAAGCAAATTATAAATTAGTTGCTAAAGTTCAAAATCAAAATATATAACATTGCAGTCTTCAAATGCGTCTTATTCTTTTATGCTTCTTACTGCATTAGCTCCTTCACAGGCTTTTCGTTCCCTTTTTTTTTGAAGCTAATATAACTGATATGATTAATACATGAAACATAAATTGTATTCTTAAATTTAATTGAATAATAAAATATGCAAATGATTTTTCATTTATCAGATTTCTTTCGACAATATCCAAAGAATGAAATAAAGTAATGAATTTAAGATATGCCATTTGGCAAATATCACGACGTAAACAGAGGATTGTTTTTTAGTAACCAAGCCTTTTAATCCATACCCTCCAGATGACATTCTTCATATGAAATGTGAATTGGGGATAAGAAAATAGAAATATCACTTCTTTATACTAGGCTATAATAACATGAACTAACCTAAACGGAAAAAAGGGAACAATAGAAGAAATAGTAAACTAATCATTTGAGCCTGATGGATTTATTTGAGTAATGCTGAGACAATGAAATTTTTTTTTGTCTACCACTGATTTGATGAAATTTGTAACTGACAATGTCACTTGCACTATTTTTGGGCCATAATTATGAGCTAGTCTAAAAGGGAACAATAGCAGAAGCAGTTAGTTATGTTCTTGTAGAACCCAAATAAGAAAAGAAATATCAGATAAAAACGGTTCCTTTCTTGCTTTTTTTTTCTCGGAAGTACTGATGAGAAGTTCATGAGATGAAGAGTAATGTGGTAAGTCAGAATTTAGAAAGAATACATACAAGCATGAGAAAATAACGAATCAGTTTATCTATTTCAACTAAATTTACCACAATGTCTAATTGACATTTTTGCCACGAATTACCGTATTTACATAAGTTTTGTAACACTCTCAAATATTGTAGAATAACCTAGAATGGCATACTTATTTCTCGTCGTATACTAATTATTAAATATTATTTCGAGAAAAAAAAAAGAATGAAATCATAGCAAATAAGTTAAAAGGCAAGAAAATTGCAAAGCTTAAAAGTCGCCAGAATATTATTAGTTAGTGTTGTTTGTATTGGATTTACTTCATTCTTCCATGAGGCAGGTCTTTTTGAAAGTTTCAACAAATGGGTGTTTCTAAAAATCCGTTCGTTATGAAGAAATTGCGACAGATCGATAAAAATGAATAAGTTATTGAAGGCATTTTACAACGACGAATAAATATAATGGATTAATTGGAGAGAGAAAAAAGGAAAGAAGCAAAGTATGCATGAAAATTTGAAGTGTTACAAACGATATGTTGCATAAAAAGAAATTATATGTAAAATGAATGAGTCATTGACAGTGATGTTTGCATATTTCATTTAGAAATCAATTTGTACTTATCGAAAACAATGTTAAAATTGATTATAACATTGATTAAATAAGGCGATAGTATGTGTAATTATTATCATTGAACTGTGATAGATGATATCATAGTCTCACGTTTTTGTCAAACTTTACAACAAATGATCCGTTATCATTCCATTTCAATTTTCTTTCTTTTTTTTTTGAATAATTCAATTTATTAACATTTTTCTCAATGTGTTTACATGCAAGAGCAATTTTTTGACATAGTGACTTGTTAATGATCGAAACAACAAGTTATGCACTGATTAGCACAAACTTATTTGTTAGCTCTTTGTTAAATAAATATTCACTTTCCTTAAGTACCACAAGCAAGCAAAACACCTCACTAATTAACTTTTATCTATTTTTATTATTTTGGGAAATTTATTCATAGGCTTACGCTTATTTACGGCAATTTTTTGACATAGTGACTTGTTAAATATGATCGATCTATCATATGTTTTATCACTTTAACAAAAGTGGTAAGAAGCTATCATAAGTGAATTGGATGAAGTATCAAGAAAGACCAATCAAAAAAATTGATAAATTCATTGAATATAAATATTTCCGTCTTAAATTTAACACAGCTCATATAGTTTTATTATCAAAAGATAAAAAGTTGTTGAAAAATGAAAGGACAATGTTTTAAATGAAATAAATGATAAAGAGCATCTGAGTCTTTGTAAAAAAAGAAAAAAAAAATGAGTAAATATGTTTGATCTTTCTTTCCTTATTTCACATTTTTTTTTTCTTTTTTTTTTTTACAAAAAGGATTAAAAGTTCATTCATTTTGCATCTATTACGTGCTATTCTCACACTGTGGTAAATTATTTCACATTATTCAACGATTTTTTCATTCCCATAATCGAAGTACTCAATATTTTAACAAAATTAATACTTATCAACGTTCAAATGAAAAATTCCAAGCAATTTAATCAGACCAAAAAAAAAAAGACAAAAACAAAATTAGGATATTATTGAAATATTAGTGATGTCATCTACAGGAACAACAACATACTACCTGAAATGATATCATTCAGACATACATTCGCAACTCCAATTACTTTTAACATAGTCAGATTTACGAAGTAAAAAAAAAATGAAATTTTAATTATTGTTCCGTTCATTCCGTTCATCCCGTCTGTTCCGTTCATTTCGTCTGTTTGCACCTGTGTAAGCATTTTTATCTTTTTCTTTCGTTCTTTTGGTAAAAAAAAAAAGAAAAGAAAGTGAAAGAAAAAAAAAAATTATCTCACAATAAAGTAGCTAAAAAGTGCAAATAATGACATTTTAGTGAAAAGATAAGTACATAGATAACTACATGCAACATGAATTGTTACTTTTTTTTTCAGTTTTTTTTGTGAAAATTTTTAAGCGACTTGCAATTAATTATAAAATTATAAACAAATTTCGAAAAAAAAAACAATAGAAGGCGCGAAAATAATCAATCTACCACATATCAATGAAAGGATTTTGTGATGGATAACTAAGTAGATTGGAAAAAAGCCACTGACAAAAAGTTTTAAAAAGTTCTAACTCACTATGTGTTTCTAATGTAAGTGTATTCAGCTGTTGAGCAATCCCTCTCCAACTGCATTCGCTTATTAATTCCTTCTGTCTTTTTTCCATTTACTAAGTTAGGTAAAACTGTGTTTTAGCGAAGTTTATTAGTCAAAAAAAAAATTGAAAAGCTAATAATGATCAAATGATCAGTTCGAAAAATTCAAAAAAAAAAAAAAGGAAGTGACAAGTCGAGGTGACCATCAAAATATATTTGTACGCATTGACAACCTCTCAGCATTTATTTCAAATAAGGCTTGATGCAATAGGCCTTTTATTTCATCCTATTAGCTATGAATGTTCCTCCTAGTCGCTTATCGTCGACTAATTTTTTTTTTTTTACTTCATCCTTCTTTTCTTTGTGTTATATCACTTGTGAGGACAAGATAGGATGAATAGATGGATAGCTTGCATTTACTGAAAGATGAAAACAGCTGCTACTGCCATAATTGATTTGGCAAAGATCTTGCGAGAGTCAGTGATTTTGCATTGATGATTACAGCTATTGTTTCCTAAATTGTGGGATTGTTTAGTAATTATGATACAACTGAGCTTCAAATTTTTAAATATTTACATAAAATTTTCGGAATTATTTATTTCATTCTTTTAAATGGATATGCTTAATTTAATCTGAAAGTGATTATATATCTTTTTCTATACTCCTCTATCTTTTTAATCTCAGCGAATTCCTTTCTACTTTACATTTATATTTTCAAAATCAACCATTTAAAACTCAAAATATTTGGAAATTTTATCAATTTTCAGGAATTTCTGGTGTAATTATAATATGATAAGATCAGATATTTTATGAACTATTTATATGCGCTGTCATTCCGTTAGGGCAATTACGAAAAGAATGACGGAAAATATTTCTAAATTTTAAAGCGCATCTAAAAAAAATTTAATTTAACCATTCGATAGACTAATTAACAATTGCATTAAACGCAACATTTCAGTAATTAAAATCTTTTGAAACAGCGTCACATAAAAATATGTTTCTTATATACAATATCGTGCACTGATTATAGTATCCAAGAAAGATTGGAATTGGGTCCATGTTCTTCTATTTGACGGATTTACAAAGAACGTTTAACTGTTGCCATAAAATGATAATTGACCAGG